ACATGTATATAAATGTTTATAGCAACTTCATCCAAAATAGTAAAAAACTGGAAGCAATTCAGATGTCCTTCAACAAGTGAATGGTTAAACAAGCTGTGGTACATATGTACTGTAGAACTCAATACTCAACAATACTCAACAGTACCATGCTATTTGACAATAAAAAAGAATGGGAGGCCGAGTGCACTGGCGCATGCCTGTAATCCCAGCACTTTGGGAGGCCAAGTCAGGCAGATCACTTGAGTCCAGGAGTTTGAGACCAGCTTGGGCAATGTGGCAAAACACTGTCTCTATAAAAATACAAAAATTAGCTGGACTTGGTGGCATGCACCAATAGTCCCAGCTACTCGAGAGACTGAATTGCTTGAACCCGGGAGGCAGAGGCTGCAGTAAGCCAAGATCGTGCCACTGCACTCCAGCCTGGGCAACAGTGCAAGACTCTGTCTCAAAACAAAATGGATTATTGATATACATAACAACCTGCATTAATTACGCTAAGGGAAAAAGTCAATCCCAAGCTGTTGACAAAAAAGTCAACCCCACAGTTACATACTATGCGATTCCATTTATATAACATTCTTCAAATGGCAACACCATGAAGAACAGGCTGGGGGTGGTGACTCACACCTGTAATTCCAACACTTTGGGAGGCTAAGGCAGACAGATTGCTTGAGCTCAGGAGTTCAAGACCAACCTGGGCAACATGGTGAAACCCTGTCTCTACCAAAGGTACAAAAACATGAGCTGGGCATGGTGTCCCGCGTCTGTGGTCCTAGCTACTTGGGAAACTGGAAATGGGAGAATTGCTTGGGGTAGGTGGGGGAGTGGGAGGTGGAGGTTGCAGTGAGCTGAGATTGCACCACTGCACTCCAGCCTGGGTGACAAAGCAAGATTGTCTCAAAAAACTAAAAATGAACAGATCATTTCTAGGGGTTAAGGAGGAAGTGGAACAGGAGAAAAGTGGTGTGGCTATAAAGGGCAGCATGTGATAATGAGAATGTTCTGTACAATATCCTGGTTGTCATACAGTAGTATAGTTTTGCAAGATGTTACCTTTGGGGGAAAGCAGATACAGAGGATCTCTGTTTTGTTCCTTAAAACTACATGTGCGCCTACAATTATATCAAAATAAAAAGTTTAATAAAAACAAAATTAAAATGAAAGAGGTCAGCAGGAGAGTGGGCAAGTGAGATGTAGCAACACAGAAGGAGGCAGGAGAGATCTTAAGCATGACTGGGACTTAACCCACCACTGCTGGCTTTGAAAGTGGAGGAGGATCCTGGGTGTGGTGGCTCACGCCTGTAATCCCAGCACTTTGGGAAGCTGAGGCACATGGATCACGAGGTCAGGAGTTCAAGACCAGTCTGGCCAAGATAGTGAAACCCTGTCTCTGCTAAAAATACAAAAATTAGCCGGGCATGGTGGCACACGCCTGTAATCTCAGCTGCTCAGGAGGCTGAGGCAGGGAATTGCTTGAACCTGGGAGGCGGA